ACAACCACACCCCCCCCCCCGCCACACACACACGTACACACACACACACACACACAGATATATATATACATATATATATATATGTATAATCGCAGTTATACACCTGTACACATACATATGGAGGAAGTAAATGCCAGCGTGTTACTTCCTACTGATTATGTTGAGCAATACACCCGTAAGCCGCTTGTACCGCACACTAGGACTTCATGGAGTTAAAACTGTGTCATGGATACACTTCGCTCTATTTCGCAGGTGTCTTCTTTCTCACCGAACACTTTGCAGCCACACAACAAGAGCCTCAGCATCAATATCTCGCAGGCGTCGCAGCTGAAGATCAAATCGAACACAAACTCAACCTTTGTGACTAGTCCCAATCCAACGCCACCGCTCTCAGCCAACCCACCACCAAGCGTACTGGCGCCAACATCGAAACAAGTTAGGGCCAGTCTACTGCCAGCCGTAGCGCAACATAAGAGACCCATTGTGGCCTATAACCAACTCGCGTCAAAGCAGATCATAGAGGCCGGGGGTGGTGTGAGCGTGGCCAAGGAGGCGCTGCTGCAGTCGTATCTGGAACAGTGGACGCCGAGCGATGCGGTGATGCAGCGAATGGCCGATGTGCTGGAGCAGACCGAGAATATCTATGCAAATGCCCGGAAGTGCAGGAACCTTGGTATCAAGCGGGCTACAAGGGTATGTTTCTAAACCCTTCCCAGGCCGAGAGATACTATCGCCATTGCTATAGAGAAATGCCGTTGGTGGATATATCATAGCATGCATTTTAAGAACTGTGTGTATATGAGTCGTAAATGATATGTATGTGTCAACTCGCCTAATCCTGTTCTGTATGCACACGTTCAGGTGGGGTCGTACGCGCAAGAAACCATTCTCATGGCGAACAATGCTATTGACATTGTTATAGAAGCTGCCGACGGAGAGGACCTCCGTCAAACAACCTCGAAGGTCTGTACCCAATCACACATCCAAAGTAATCGCTGGCTGTCCGTGATGTACCTGATTATCCTGTTTAAATGTTTAGGCAGTTCCCTAAACGATGTCGTTCAACATTGCTGATTTATGAGATACTTGTGGCGGGCTCACTCCCACCGCAATATATATATATATATATATAATATATGTGTGTATGTATACGTATGTAAGTATCAGTTCAGATATATGTGTTTGTACACACACATTCATACAAACGCACACACACATTTCTATATTTATGTATGTATCTGTTGTAATACAGTTGCGTTCGGATTTCTTTTTGTGTGGGCCAAACTTTGCGATAGTATCCAATTTCATTTTAATGTACACTCAGTCAGCCCTAAACAATCCTAGAAACGTTTGAAACCCTAGACAGGTCGTATTCGGTGTCCTGTGGACTTTAGTCTGTCTGCTGTATTCTATTTATATTCTGCATCTGGAATGTCATGGCTCGGTTCCAACCTCTACAATCATGTACACCATAGTGCCGTGCCCAACTCTTTTGTATGTCATAGATACCAACCCTACCGTGGTAAAATATCGGATATATAGAATAGGTAGTTGCTGATAACATGTTATCTTCTCTACTGCGCCGTATGGTAATGTTGGTCTGAATGTACCTTGTGGAGGCCAGATGTGCGGAATCGCAAAGTTCTTTGTATTTTCTGCGATCTCAAACAGAAAGTTGGTGAGCTTCTGAGTACTGGCAGATTGC